GTCGGACCTCTCTGTGCGGTGATTAAACCAGTTAAAAAGGAGAGCAGAAATTGTAACACTGGTGTCAGAAGTGGGACTGTGGCAACCATGGCGTTCATTGACGCCATCTCCTCCGTTGAGGTGCAGGATGCGGTTCGCCTAGCACGCCCCAAGACTCTCCGAGCAGCACACACGGGCGCGCTGGAGATAGAAGCTGCTCGACAAGCATCACGATCTACGGTTCTGAGGCCTCCTACGCAGCCGCAAGCCCCGACAACCGCAACACATGCGCCTCCAGCCCCAGTTTGCTGGAACTGCCATCAGCAGGGCCACACGCGGGCACAATGTCCCACGTATCACCCCAGCAGCCGGAACCCAACAGCAACATCGCCGCGGATAATCACATCAACGCGTGTCCTGACAGCACCACTTACATCTATCTACCTTCAGGGCGTCGTCGACGGAGTTTCGGTACGCGCACTTGTTGATACCGGAGCTACAACCTCGGTAATTAGACCGGAAGTTTTGATGAAAGCGAATCGTGCTGTTCCACAAAGCTCTGACAGCTATGCTGTGCAGACCGCAACGGGAGACATGGTAGCCGTACTAGGCTCCACAACTGTACCCTTCACCGTGGGTAGCCTTCACGCTTCGCTGCCTGTTGACGTAGCCGCTATCGAGGAGCAGTGCATCCTGGGCGTCGATTTCCTCAAAGCACACAAGTGCGTGCTCGATTTCAACGCTGGAATCCAGCATCTCGGAACTGACTCGTTTCCCCTAGGCGCCGCCAAGGTGACGGTCCTCTACGACACTGGGTTGCCAATAAACGACACCCTCCCGTATATGTGTCCTCGCACATCCTCTATCAAGCTAGCTGCGCACGTATTACCATTATACGAAGGCGCGTCTGCTTGTCTCGATAAACTCGATGCTGAAAGGTTTTGCCAGTTGCTTGAAAAATTCACAAGCCTTTTCAGCACGGGAGACGCAGATATAGGGCTGACATCGGTGGCGACACACCGGATTGTGACAGGACAGGCTTCTCCCATTCGACAACCCCCTCGGCGCATTCCTCTCACAGAGGTCTCACGTCGACGACTTGGTCAAGACAATGCTTCAACAGGGCGTGATTGAACCAGCATGTTCCCCCTGGTCATCACCAGTTACGCTAGTGACAAAGAAGGACGGTACAACTCGATTTTGCATAGACTATCGAAAACTCAACGACGTCACTAAGAAATACTCTTTTCCACTTCCTCGGACTAATGACATCTTGGATGCCCTCGCTGGGTGCACATGGTCTTCGACACTCGACCTCAAAAGCGGATATTGGCAGGTCCCGGTGCAACCAGAAGACCGCGAGAAGACCGCCTTCACCACAGGTATCGGCTCGTATCAGTTCAGAGTAATGCCATTTGGACTCTGCAATGCTCCAGCTACATTTCAGAGGCTAATGGAATCTATCTTGAACGAGCTCATAGACACTATTTGCCTTGTATACCTTGACGACATCATCGTCTTCGGCAAGACAGTCACAGACCATCTGGCGAATCTAAACTTGGTTTTTTCACGCCTGCAAAATGCGAACCTGAAGCTCACACCGAAGAAATGTTCGCTGTTTACAAGGCAAGTGGAATACCTCGGCCACATCATTTCGGTGGATGGCGTTTCCACAGACCCTCGGAAACTCTCTGCTCTCGTTGATTGGCCAACCCCGAGTTCCACCACGGACGTGCAGAGCTTCATTGGACTGGCATCGTACTATCGAAGATTCGTCTCCGATTTCGCTCACATCGCCAAGCCTTTGTATGCTCTGACTGAGAAAAAAGCGAAGTTCGTCTGGTCCTCGGAATGCCAGCGTGCGTTTGAGACGCTCAAAACAGCCCTCACGTCTCCGCCAACACTTGCGTATCCGAAGGAGACTGGACGCTTCATTCTTGACACCGACGCCAGCGCCTCGGCAATTGGCGCAGTTTTATCACAAGAGCAGGACGGACAAGAACGCGTCATTGCTTACTATAGCAAGGTCTTCACGAAGCCCGAACGCAATTATTGCACCACCCGACGGGAGTTGCTGGCCATCATCAAAGCCATCACCCATTTTCACCACTATCTACTGGGCCGGAAGTTTGTTATTCGAACCGACCACGCATCGCTGACATGGATGCTGAGCTTCAAGACATCTGATGGTCAGGTCGCCCGCTGGCTGGAACGCCTGCATGAATACGACTTCGACATACAACATCGTTCCGGCTCAAAGCACACCAATGCCGATGGTCTCTCTCGTAGGCCATGTAGTGAAAAGTGCAAGCAGTGCTTGAGCATTGAAAAGCGCAGCTTCGACACGCTTAACGCACTAACCAACCTACCCTGCGACTACGAAGCGTGGACGCCAGAAGAGCTCCGAAACGCTCAACTTGACGACCCGGACATCAGCCCATTAGTAAAATGGAAGAGACAGGATAACAGGCCCCCTCCTAAGGAAGTATCTCGGCTGTCTCCGGCCCTCAAGAGTTACTTGGCGCAATGGGACTCTTTGCTGCTGCGCGACGGTGTTCTTTACCGACGCTGGGAGTCCGCTGCGGGCAACTCTGTTGTATGGCAACTGGTGCTGCCACGAAGACTCTGCTCTCAAGCGTTTCATCAGCTGCACACAAGCCCTGAAGGAGGACATTTCGGCGTGAACCGCACCCTGAAAAAGATTCGGCAGCGCTTCTACTGGCTGCAGTGCCATAATGACGTAAAGCAATGGTGCCGTCTATGTGACATGTGTGTCTCACGGAAAGGTCCTCACGTAAGACAGCGAGCACCGCTTCAAGAACATGTCACGGGAGCACCTTTTGAACGCGTCGGCATTGATGAGCTTGGACCGTTTCCTCGATCTAAGCTTGGCAACAGGTTCCTGCTGGTCATTGTTGACTATTTCACGAAGTGGCCGGAAGTCATTCCTATACCGAGCCAGACCGCCTCCGAGATCGCCGACGCTCTGGTGAGGAACTGGATTACACGGTATGGAGTTCCCCTGAGCATCCACTCGGACCAAGGCAGGAGCTTCGAATCTCGGGTGTTCCAAGAAGTCTGCGAATTGTTCAACATCAGAAAGACAAGAACGACGCCTCTCCACCCGCAGTCAAACGGTTTAGTCGAGAGGATGAATCGAACGATCCTACAACATCTGTCCATGTTCGTCAGTGATCAGCAAGATGACTGGGATAGCATCGTGCCTTTGTTTTTGTATGCATATCGCACGTCTGCTCATGAGGTCACTGGCTATACGCCTGCCACAATGCTCTTCGGTCATGACCTTCGCATGCCCTGTGATTTAGCCCCTCCACGAGCATCAGAGCCGACCACAAACCCTGCGTCCTACGTAGGTGAACTGAGAACAAACCTCGAGCGGGTGCACGCATTTGCTCGACAGCGTTTGGCGAGCGGCTTGGATCGCATGAAAGCCCGGTACGACGCGCATGTCACAACACGCCCGTTCTCTCCAGGGGAAAGAGTATGGCTTTACAACCCGATTCGCAAGAAAGGACTGTCTCCGGAACTGCAGCGTAACTGGCAAGGACGTTTCATCGTCATCAAACGTCTCAGTGATGTGGTCTATCGCATACGTCGCAAGGATAGATCACGGGCCCTCGTGGTCCACCGCGACCGGTTGTGTTTGTATCAGGGACTCCTGTAGGACTTGCTCGGTTTGCAAAGGACGGGAGGGGGATAGTGTAGCGGAGACGCTGAGTGCGGGGTGAACAAAAAACATAAAGGTGAAGCAACCGGCGCGCGACGAAGGGAACGCTCGTCGTGCTCGTGCGTGTGCGCGAGGCAGTTGGAAGCCAGCCACCGAAGATGTCGGACCTCTCTGTGCGGTGATTAAACCAGTTAAAAAGGAGAGCAGAAATTGTAACAATATATATATATATATATATAAAAGAACCGTTTTAATTAACAAACATTCGTTAATTAACGAATGTTAGTTAATTAGTCTGGTAATAGTGATGGTTATATTCCAATCTAATGTCCGCCGAGCCATATAAACATAGAGTGAAAACCATATTCATATAACTTCTTCCCCTTAAAAAAAATTGGTGCAGCCTAAAAAACATTGTGTGTGTGTGTGTGTGTCGACAAAAACGTTGCAACGGCATGAAATACTGACCAGACTGGAGGGTTAAGGGAATGATGTGCATATTTCTCAAAATCACAAAAACCGTCGTAACGTCGAGAGTTCGGTTAGTTGGTATGCGTTGGTTGCGCCGTTTCTACACTATCAACAAAAACCGAGATAGGGAGACTTCAACGGTCACAATTGGCAATTTATTCTGCGATCTGGTGTTAGCAGGTGCGACTGGTCATTGTCTAGGTCTAGCCTCTGAGTGCTATTGGCAGCTAGAGGACACGTATTTGACAGCCTCCACTGATATGAAAAGCAACTGTATCTTCTGAACAACTCTTGTGAGCAGTACAGAGACATATGTACCCACCCACAAGCTACGAATTAATTGTCAAGCCATTGTGCCTAAAATTTGAAAAAAAAAGAAGATTTTGTTAGTTACCGTTTAGCTCCGATTTTGATTGCACGTCAGTTATTTTCAGCTGATTTCTCAGGTTGAACAGGACTGACCAATGGATTGAGGGTGCTAAACCACGATCCCTATTGATCGGAGCGCTCTCTATTATTTCGGGCTTTCACAGATGGCATATGTATCAACCTTCGGAAACTCGCTGAATCGCCTTCCATGCTGCCATTTTGTATTAAATTTTATGTTTTTAATTTTTTTTTGTAGTTACAGAAGAAGTTGTAGTAGTGTAGCAGTTTCTCCTATAGGACAATAGTATATTAGCCGTGAAAGTAATTATATGAATATGCTTTCGTTTATTTATTTATTTATTTTTTTTGCTCCTTACGTTCCTTTGGGACTGGATACATTTATTGAAACCACATGGTGATGTAGGAGTTGTTGAACATGTTCGCGTACTTTTGCGTTCTACAGACCGTCCGTTTTGCATCTGCTGCTATGTCAACAAGATGTGGACGATCAACGACGATCGGAGCTGTGAACCGTAGAAAGATATTGCGCAGGCCATAAACACAAACATCGCAAGTAAAGGAAGGTCAATCCATGCTCTCAAATAACATGTTCAGGTGACCATTACCCCGCTAATGTCATGCAGGCAGTGGTAAGCAGGTTTTCTAATCGGATGTTGCTTATCTTTCAAGGCATGTAGGTGGTTGAGTTATCAGAACACTACTGGACGTTCAAGTGGTTCGAGAAGATAGGAACAAAAGGTCGGTCTTCCTTATCAGCGTCTGTCTTCTTTCAGTGAAACGAATCTTTGTACAAGCTGCTATCAATTTTGAGAGAAAGGTCTTGTGTCGTGTGTTGGCATGGACATCTGGCAGTAAGCATTTGTTTTCTCTTCTTTTACAATTTCACTGCTTGGTAGGATAGAGTACTGGAAAATATTTTTGGTTCTAGACGCCCTTTTTAAGCCTATGTTAGCACAATCAGAAGGAATGATTCTTCATAACGAAATGTGAACGGTACGTAATTTTTATAGATTCAGAACAAAATCAAATTATTATTCTAATTACTGTTTAATCTGCACTTGATTTGTTAGAAGTGCTTGATAATGTGACCTGTTCTATTTAGTTTCTAATACTACCAAATTTAGATCTATAGCTCTTTTACCCATCAGCTGTCAGTGTGATTTTACTCACGCCAAGATTTACATATAATTTTTTTTTCACACACTACCCTAGTTACGTTGCTGCTGGTATTCTGTGCATTGTGCTGCAGAGTTCAGCAAGCAGGGACTTCAGCATCTGTAAGGATGTGTCTTATTCGTGTGGTGTGTATTACTTTCTCTCTTCACTTTTTCTATGGCCCCAGTTTGTTTATGAGTTTTATGTAGTAGTGTTATTAAGACAGACGGCTACAGCGGTTATAATTTATTCCTTTAACTTATTTAAGCGCTGCACTAGAAAGTTGAAACCAACATATTTTGCCGGTTTTCTTTTTATAGCATGTGTAACAATTTCAAGTGCCGATAAAAAGTCTTGAAACCTTTCTTTTCGTAACTAAACAGATACAGTAATGTCTTCGACCAATGCTACATGTGTCCCTAACTTTAAAAAGAAGTAGGTAAAAAAAAAAAAAAGCTTAGCAGATAAAGGTATTGTATACAAATCCCAGGATACGTTGAAGACTGATTAAGCTCTGTTGACGCTTAACGTTTTCGTTAAGTCCATAGTAACACAATCAGGTGAAATTTTACCTATGATGGTATTAATACCATCATAGGTAAAATAGTATAGTAACAACGGTTAAGATATTATCCTACAAATTATTTTATTCCGATCTAAAATGTTTTTTTTCTTCGTCTGGGGTACCACGGCGACAAACCCGGAAAAATTACTGCAAATGCACATTTTCTTTCGCGTACAAAAATATGTCAGACTCTAAATAATATACTCAGCATACATGATCTGCACATGTACAGGTTTTTTATAAGGCGTAATACAGAGCTCAGACATAAAATTTTATTTGATAAAATTGTCTTGTTTGTAGCAATTGACATTTGTAGCGCACGTAATTAACGAAGTTGATGATTGACAATTGAATACTGGAAACTAAATTTTTGCTGCTAAATATAAGATCTTCGAAGATTATAGTACTTATGTGGTATGCATATAGATGAATTAAATGCGAAGGATTAGGTATCATTATGTATATTATTGCTCTACGAATCTAATGTATTGAATGTTTACCCGCATATTTACGATCAGTGTAGTTCGATGGGATGTGGTTATTCTTGTGCTACTTGTGGTTTGGTTGTGCTCATTATAAATACATATTTAATTGTAGCTGTACCTGCATATTTGTACTTAGCCGGTCGCAGTGTTCTCCCATTTATACTTAAAAATGTCACCTCTCGGGTATTTATCCTCAGTCAACGATTTAGTGACCCCCTCACTAAATGCACTGTTGGGTGAAGCACATATAAAAAGAACTTGAAGTAAAGTAGAAAGTAAATGCGAGGTGATTTACTTCAAGTAAAGTAGTAAGTACACCGGGGTCCAATGTGCTTGAAGTAAGGTACTATAAACAGAATGAACTTTAAAACTAAATTGCAAGTACATTTTAACACAATCTCTCATGATGCCCTTTCATTCCCATATACAGTTATTTTAACTGGTATGTCTTGTCCCAGGGTTAATCGGCGTGCATCACTTATTTTCCGAAATGACGGCGAATATTAGGTAGAGTTAAGTGGCCACAGAATAGTTATTTTCAGAAATGGCGCCAAATTCTTGAGTCCGACTTCTGAATTTGGCACCGCTTTTACTGGTTTGTTGCACCCAAGGGGGTTAAACGTTCTAGGAGAGAGCATGATGTCAGCCTGTAGCTCCCGCGAGCAATCCTCTCGTAGAGGAGTGTCCTTTCCGTTACGAAAACGCCACGAGTGTGCGGACAAGCTAGCGATTATTAATCATAAGTTGATGCCTGAGACTGTAGTGCAGAAAAATTAAGAAACTTTCTAGTCGAAATAAAAGACAACAGAGAAGAACTTTTCAAAGCATTGAGACATTTTCCTCTGTTGTCTTTTATTCGACTTGAAAGTTTCTTCACTTTTCCGCACCACAGTTTCGGGTTATATATTACGATTAATTGTCCCCTCCCGATACTTTTAAGTTCCTCACTTGCGCTGACCAAATGAGAAGTCGCGAACGTTCACAAAGCTACAGGAAAGTCGCCCCCAGGACAAACGGTGCGATGCATCGTCGGATCACGTTTTTGGTGAGAGTATAGAATATCCCTCCCAGTATTTCTTCAGAGTTGACAAAGCATCTTTTTGTGATACAAATACGATTTTATGATACAATGATAAAAGACAAAATTAGGGGAATGTACCTTGAAGACGGGAGTTGTATTTTCCTCGGAAAGTACCAGAAAAAAAAACAAAAAAACTTTAAGTACAAGTACATGCTCAGATAACGTACTTCAAGTAAAGCACAAGTTTTCTAAGCCTACTTGATGTAGTACTTTAAGTACAATGTACTTGAAGTACTCCCCAGCACTGACTAAATGTGCGGACTTAGCTTCTTTCCGGCGTGACCTTCCAGTTTATATTTTATTTATTTTTATTTTTTGGTCCGCCCGCGTATGTGACACCAGGATTATCTCGATTATTTTGGATTATTTATAATTATAATTACAAAGTAAACTTTCAATCTCAATCTTATTGGTGGATAAACGCCATTACTGGCCCTCAACATGATACTCCGACCTGTTAAATCGCGTGTAGAATACCTGTGCATGCAAAAAGTGTTCTTTATGACGCCAGAACGTCACCAAAAACAATTAGGATAACCCGTTGGACCGTGTTTCCAGGTCCACTTCCTCCCGTTTTACCGAAGAGCTACATCCTGAAGTACGAATGGGTAGATTTGATGAGAAATCAGACCGGGTGGATGGAGGAATACTTTGACCGCAAAAATCTCCGAGCGAAATTGACTGGCCTCCTGCAGGGAATTACATTTACGAGCATCTACGATTATCACAGAGAAACAGTCACCACCTTCGGCTCCGACTCCCCGATTGGTAAGTTTTTTTTTTTTTTCCGAAGCCGTAAAATGCGTCTGTCAAGCATGCAAATGCTTATTCGCTTCTATAACAGGATCAAACCAGGCATATGGGAATTTTTGTGGACTTTAGATCTAACCATCGAGCTAAACTTTACAACCTGTATAGTAATAAAATTAATTTCGCGTGAGCAGGGCATATTTACAATTAGGTACGTGCTCCCTTGGTAGAAAAATAAAGTCGTTGAAGATAATGATTTTAAACTGCACTTCGATCGACTATGCTCTCTAGTGAATTGTTTATCCCACGCGCCGAGAAAGTGAAGGAAAGGAGGAGACAAGAGTTCGCGGGTACGTCAGAAAACCGAGCTCTGATTCGAATGATTAGTGGTTTGTCCTAAAGCTGTAGCTGCCTTTGTCTCCACTGCACTTGTCGAACGCGTTCGAATGCAAGAGCCAAAGGCTAGACGCTTGTGTTCCGCGTTTTAACGCGTTCGACGAGTGTAGCGGAGACAAAGGCTGCTATGGCTTTAGGCCTACCCTCTAATCGTTCCAACCAGAGCTCGGCGTTCTGACGTCCCACCGCGCTCTCGTCTCCTCCTAAGCGGAGCGCAAGTTCGTCTGCTTCTTTTGCAGGGGTTGTGTTGACGTCGGAATGCCGAGCTCTGATTGGCTCGGATTGAAAGATAGGGGTTGGACCTCAAAGTAAGCTGCCTTGAGGTCTACCCACTATCAGAGCCAATCAGTGCTCGGCGTTCTGACGTCAACACAACCCCTGCAAGAGAAGCAGGCCAACTTGCGATCCGCATTCCTAAGAAAAAAAAGTTCACAGAATGACGCAGTTCTACGTATTACATTATCTAGAAATATTTTTTTTCCAATTATAGGCTCATTGCCGTCAAGTAATTAATCCGCTGAGTGTTTCGCCAAATATCCTCCTGAGATGAAGCTTAACAGGAACCACTTGTGTGTTGTTCTAATGCTGGCGCCACTAATGTTTATCCTTGCAGCCAGCGTCAGATGGGATCCCGCCAGCGAGGATAGTTGTGAAACCATCGAAATGTCATTGTATGACCCTCGGCAGCTTCCGTTTGGATACAAATACGCCAAGGAGAGACCTCTGGGATCTCGCATGGACGACATTTACGAGGAGTTTAAATTCGGGGGTCCCTACCGCTCTCAATTTGTCAAATCTTACACCGGAGAGGAAACCCGAGGCATCAGCACCAATGTATTCCAGTCCTGTGCCTACAACGAGGAAGATGATTCCACAAACCGAATGAAATATTACTGGACGACTGAAAGTAGGTCTCTCGTTATTTTACTTTCACTGTTCATGTTTTGTTCGAGTGATCTGGACTAAAAACGGGCATGCAGACAGATGGGCGCAAGAAATATAGTTCGTGAACGCATTCGCTGCAAGATGATACCTTCAGCGCCTTCACTGTGGTCGACGTTCATGGCATGCAAATATGTTCGCAGTGCAAATAAGGCTTTCGTTTTTATTCTCTTGAGCACTAAGAACTTGCTTTGAAAGTAATCATTCGGGTCAGAAACTTTGAGTACAGATCGTGTTCTACTATAATTTGGCACTTGTTTCACGCATCAGCGGGCGTACGCCATTTTTAACTCTCAAACTGTAGCTCCTGGATTTCACAAACTACGTGGCAAAACCATGGCCGACCTCGTATCTCAGTTTCTTTTTTCAATGATATATCTTGGCAATAATGGTTCCAATGTTGTTTATTTCGTTGAACATGTAGACAAGCTTTGAGTGTATCTTGTGTACTGAGCGCCGCGGGCATGTGATGCGCCGTATATACAGTCCTCAGTGTGGACAAGTTCATTGTCTTCATTCATCTTCATACATCATTTGCGAAGACGTTTGGCCATTTTATACCATTTATACTTCACAAAGACTCGAGTGCAACCTCTCAGCCTTACTAGGTCCTCTCAGTAGACGGCCTTTATGTGAACTATAACTATTACGATTGCTTCGCGATTCTGAGCTTGGCTCCCTTTGCAGTCTCAAGGGCCACACCAGAATAAACAGACGCTAATTTACGTTCTTTTTCTCAGTTACCGTAACTAACGGCATGACGATTCATGCAACTTGAGATTTTAACTGTTCTCGCTTTCCAAGACAACTCCTTTACTTTCCCCTGTGGAGAGAAGGAGGTACCAGTGCGAATTGAACAGTTTGGAACGTACCCGGCTTCTGAGGATGATGACGGTCGCATACACTGGCTCAAAAACGTGGCTTGGTACGAGACGGACCCAACATTTACTGATGACATTTTTCAGGTGGGTTTCCAGCAGATGTCTGACAACTGCTGACAGTTTCAAAAACGCCCTTCAATATTGCAAAACGCTGCAAGTGCGTTAACGCAGCGCTGCTCGGGGCGCGTGAAGTGAAAGCTCGCGCTGCAGAACTCAGGGATCTTGGGTTCAATTCCCATCCATCCCGTTTCGATCTGGATGAGCATTGTATCAGCGTGCAATCGTGTATCACTAGGGTTTTTTCATAGACCACGTATCCCCCTCCGCTAAGCCCTCCGCAACGAAGAAGTTGCTACTGCACCTGCGCGCCGATAGCCTTGGCTGTAGAGCTCTGGGTATTGTAGTAGCGGGTTGCGGAGAGCTTTGCGGGACGGCGAAAATCATCTAGAACAACTCCCAACTATTGCGCGGTGCACGTTAAAGACCCTAGGCGAGCGGTCATACTGCACTGGCTAAATTTCTCATATACAGCTGAGACACCAGACGTCCATTAAGGCTTACTAACTTCCGGCTGTCTAAACACAACACAATTACCATTTTACCGTCTGTTTATTTACTCACGACAATTCGTTGTATTACGTTCGCGAAAGTTTCGAGATTTTTTACCCAGAAGACTTCTTTGTGAATGACACGAATATTTAGTGGACCTTCCTCTCTATATTTCAAAGCCAATACAAAACACTCAGTGGTTATTAAAACGGAAGTAATAAACAGAAATGACTATGTACATTTATGAACTGTGTTAATTGGTAATGTTTATCACTTTCTGATTTCTTTGCATTTGTAAAGGATTTCTGGTTCGTCGTAAACAACATCTCTCATGTGCGATACTTGCTATGTTTTTGTGCATTCGTGACTTGGGTTATTTCAGACGCCCCGATCAATGTACTGCAAGCATAGCGCTAAAAAGCGAGACATGCCAGACCTGCCTTTATGGTTCAGCTTCCGGGTTGAGCAGGCTTCTTTTACTTTGGACGACGCGGGATCTATGGTGGGAGGACCGACCTCAGTGTCTTTCAAAGAGGTGAGACATATATTCTTCAGCTTAACATAAATCACACACACACAAACACCACAAAACACACACACACACACACATATATATACACAAACACATACACACACACATGTGTGTATGTATGTGCTTCCAAGGGACGGCACAAACTCCTGCTACCTAAACAAAGCATTTTTTTTAGAGGGGGGTTGTATGACCATGATGCAACGCTACTACCTGTTCGTAAATTTCACCGAAACCCGCCGGAATCCATGTTGGAGGTACTCGTCGCTGTTAGGCTATGTTTTGTATGCTTTGGGGCCGTGCTCGTTGAAGTTTGTCGGTTAACTCAAGGTTTAAAATGATCATGTGCGCCTTAATTAATTGTTACAACCGTAAAAATTCCGCGACAGCGGAGCTACATCCAGCAGTATTCGCTTTTCGAGAATCCTGGAAATCGTTAGGAACCAGGACAAGGCTCGAGCAAGCGGTTCGCCGGCATAATGAATGGCACTGCGGATACGCCGGCATCAACCTTGACCAGGCGTGTAAAGACGGGAGCAGAACGCGGCAAATCCTGGGCGCTAACATCTCCGGTTTCGAGAGAAAGAAAGCGACAAAAGAGTAGAGAAAGAACGGAGACGAAGGGTAAAGCGCAGCCGGCTCAAACAAACGGTCCAAACCGACACGTATTCCGGATTCGCGTGAGGCCAACTCATGTTTAGAAACAAACCGGAGCACCCCTAGTGGACGCCACCTGTGTGCAAGACTCTCGCTGTCGCCCAAACCATTGGAAGGCGATGTTGTCGGCGTCGGTGTGAGCCCCCGTGCTCTTTTTCGCGTTGGAATTGTTGATTCCTCGTCTCCTTGGCAATGTCTGATTACTTAAGCGGCCTCAGCGAAATTAACGATGCTCGTTACACCGCAAACGTCGCGTGAATAATATGGCATGCGGCGATTCATTCCGCGTGGACGCCGCAGAATGGGCGCTAAAGCCTGATTCGCATAATGAGATTTTGCTCGCTATTTTCAGTCGCGACGTCGCTCGGGCTGCAAAAGCGTGGACCGTAGCTGAGATGGTCCACGTCGATCCTGAAAATCGCAAGCAGAATCGGCCCAAGTGAATGAGGCATAAGAAGTCGGTGGTAAAAATGATCAACATCTTCTTGTATCATAGTCCGCAGATGGTCCTCACAACTCGGCGGTTTTCCCGAGTTTATGTTGGAACAAAACAAATAAATCTGATGACCGCAAGTATCCGTGAATTCAACCTAAAGCGCTACCGGCACAATCAGTCGTGATCTGACGGCGTCTGGTTTTTATTTTTCATGGCACCTATCAATGTTCTCGGACAAACCGAGCAGGAAGAAAACACTTGAAAACTGCCCTTCAAACTTTTCTCGACTCTTTTGGTACAGCCCCGGTCACTGTTTGATTGAGTAGTCAGCCCCTTCTGCGCCGTGGATTGAAGATTTTTTCTTTTTATGCTGCTTTTTTTTTCAGATATGGTACGACAGCGCGAAGAATCTTGCGCGAGTTGATATGCTCCCTTCTAAGGAGGAGAAAGACTGGCCTTACGTTCGAGATGCCCCAGACACCACCGGCCTTCTTTCTATCGTTTTGGATTTCAACTATGGTAACGATATATATCTTCTTTGTGACAGCCGTGGACGCGTATTTCCCATTTTTCATTTTAACATTAAAAAGATTACCGGTCAGCGGTTAACACATCACATGCTTTTTGAGACTTTTTTGTTGGTGAACAGATTTGGCGGAAAATTAAAAGGGGACACGTCACAACAGTGTGCTTTGGCTTTTCTGCGCGGGAAGCCGCCACGTGCGCTAGCATGGCTTGCCGAAGATATCATTGAGTGAATGTCGCACGTGTCTGCACGAATCTTGCTCCAGCAAGTACGGGAAATTCCAAAGCAATCGACGCTTTCAGACAGCTGTGCATGGGCGCCGCCATAACCAACCTTTAGTTTTTGTTTCCTCTTATTCCGTTCGCTTCACATCACCATTGCCACAACAGGATAGGTTATTGGCACTTTAGGTGCTACTGTGTTCTTCTCCCTAGCATAGGCCTTTGTGAAGGCACGTCAACGTCAGGTTTAGTGACTCGGCGTCTCGGTAAGACAGGAAAAGGTCAGCAATGACGACTCAGTCTGGCGCGTGTTTAAAGCGTCTATATTTCGAAGTTTCGTCCAGTCGGTGTCTTGACTACGCTATTTCAGATACTTATATAGCTACAAAAGTGTAAGGTTTAAAAGGTATGCGCTGAGGATTTCTATGAACGATAAATAAACCGTTACAGGGATTTACATTCAAAATAAACTCGACTAACCATAATATGGCTTTAGCGTATTCCTTCCTAAACACCATTGTTTTGTATCTCTACAGGCGCAGCATTCGTCACACATGCCTCGAATGGAGAGTGCGTAGTTAAAAAGCTGGACCGAGACTTCTTTTTGTGCAATAGCAGTAGCCCATCCCCAGTTAAAATGGTGGACCCGTCCGTGCTATTTGGAGTGACCAAGGAACATCAATACAAGGGAAAAGTAAGGATTATATATTTAGACCAGCGGAACGTTTGGTATCGGCAAGGATTACGAATACGCGTTCACTTGTGTAACGCCACTTAGTTAGAAAATTTATTTTAAATGTATTATATTTTAACCCAAAACGCAAAGACACCTGAATACTACTAGAAAAAAAAAGTCACTTTGACAAAGCAGGTATAGTACAAATAACGAATGTCATGGTTTGTTGAACTTGAGTGGGCATCATTGAAATCGAAAATTTCTGTTTTCATTTTTGAAAATATTGGTTGCTGCTAAAATGAAGTAGAATATTTCTCACGGCAGTTTAATTATTCACTACGTGTATTGTGTTTAATACTGTAAACCTGAAAAAAAAAAGAAACAAACAATTGATACGGTTCGTGAGTATACGACGTTTTGTAACTCTGATTTTTTTAATTTCATTGTAGTACAGCGTAAGAGACATTGCAGTGGACACCTGGGCAGCCATGAAAGAAAGCCCAGAAACAGCAGAGACACGTAACGAAATGACTACTCACGAAATATCCTGTTTATCGGTAAGGTGAATCTGTTTTTGCGTAGCGTACTAAATGTTAATATAAACGCAATAACTTCTAGTAAATCACACCTAAGCTCCCAGAAATACAATTTCTGTCTAATCTTGATGTAGAGCATAGTTTGATTTGGTTCTATCCTAAAGCGATGACTTATCCTAAATATATGTATTATCATTTAGCGAAAAAAAAACAAAAAACATTTCGAACTTTTGCATAAGTTTTTCTAGTTTACTTACTTTGACTAACTATTCCTTTCACCCTTTAAAAAAAAAAAATTTCGAAGAGCTTCCTGAAAAAAATTAAAACTTTTCTTGATCACTTTGACAAACCCAGGAAGAACAAAATGTGTCGTGCGTGCATTATGATTATGATATGTTATGCTTGGTTATAGGGAACTTTGGGTGGTTTCGGATGCGTTGCACGTAGACGAACTCATGCGCTTCTCGATCGAGTTCATTAGAACGATCGAGGCAATTCAGGGGTGGAGTGTGTAAGGATTATGCTTCAATTAAAAGTTTTTGTAAGTTCTTCTTCTTCTCAGGGTACGTGTAGCGCTTCAAGTTCTTCGTGCTCTCGTAATGCGAAGAGCCTCTTGCACTCTAAAAAAAGTATGTGCGTCTACTTTCACGCACAACACTCGGAGAGCCAGTCACCGCAACTTACGGAGGCAGCTCAGCGAATGACGATGCCGAAACATATGTTTAGACCAAGAAACACAGTCTAAGTTGGGACATTAAGCAATGCAAAACGTCACGCTTGCATTGCTTAATGTCACAACTCAGACCGCGTATTTTGGTCTAAACATATGTTTCGGCATCGCCATTCGCTGAGCTGCCTCCGTAAGTTGCGGTCATTCGCTCTCCGAGTGTTGTGCGTGAAAGTAGACACACAAACCTTTTTTAGAGTGTGCGGTTAACTGAAGCATTTTATGAGAGTTATGACGTCCAAGTGATTTATGCTTCTCGCGAAAACCATGTTTCGATAACTTCTGCCCTTGGTCGAAAACGTGCCGAGTCGGTTTCGCGTAACGAGCTCGAATCTCTTACATGAACTCCGAGAACCGGGAGTTTTTGGGATCCCGGACGTCGACGTTGAAGTTGCTGCACAGGCTCACGAGCTTCTCGTGGTTCCCGGAGTTTACGTTAACGAGCGGTTCCAGCTCGTCACTCCAAACCGACCCGGCACGCCTAAGGGCACAAGTAGAGGTCGATGGTCTTCTAGGACCTAATGGGAAACGATAGAAACAAAGAGAGAGAGATCACGAGAAAGAGAGAGATAATATGCCATGTTTTCTATAGAGTACGTTTATATTTGTAAATCAAGCACTCATAAGCGTATACCTGGTTTGTCTTTATGTATTATTTCCTGTTCTGCCCAGAATGAACGAGCTCTACGCTATGGTGAGCCCGCCAACGCATTTATACCTATTCAGGAGAGTTTGTACACTGATATCTACGACACAGTAAGTAAGCACTTCTCCGCCAAGATAACTCGTGTTTTATCTTAAAGCGAAAAAAAAAAAGTTTCTACGGCTTAACGAAATGTATTATTAGCGTCTACGAAATAATATATTCTTCGTGTTTGAAGTTTGAAGGATAAAAGTGAACGGTTTTTTCGTGTTTTTTTTTTCTTCCCGCCATGTGCCTTGCATAGTGTCATATTAGTTACCGAGTTTCTTCCTCCTAACATTGGTTTTGTACCTATTGTTTTATTTCCCTAAACTACTGTTTAGTACTAGCTTCACCTCTCTCCTTATTATGGTAGCCGAAAGAAATATGATGAAAGAGTTTGAGCTCTTCCTAAAACAACTACCGATGCAGCCTTTAAAAAAAAAAAAAACGTTTGAGCTATGTTACATTGGCGATAGCAAATTCGGTAATTGTGAAGTGAAGACTGGTCGCCTCTTTGTTTTTGCGCTGTTTGAGACGTTACAAAGACATAAAATATTTAAATAATTCCCTGGATTTATGATAACTTCAAAGTTTGCTCTTATTCTCTACGCTTTGGTGTCGGCATGCTTTATTTTATGTGACCACTGCTTTACTGTTAATCACCGGCTGGTATTCAAATCATTTCAGAAACCAGGTGAAGTTCAAGCAAAATTCAGACAAAAAGTGCTGATGAAGAATTACTTCAAATATTCAGATTCTCAACCTAGGCTGTCGGTATTTGATGCTCCTGGTTGCATTCAACACCACGGCTCAAGAACCTTTATTCTCAATTTTCCAGGTACGAATGCGCTATTGTACAAGATCAATTTGATTGAAAATACAAAATCTAGCCTGCTGTCATGTGTTTTTCTTAGATGCCATGTTGCTTTCATTAATTGAATTTTTGCAACAAGCTAGAAGTACTATTTTGAATTCAAATCATGTTCTTAGTGTTCAAAAAGCAAAAGAAGCAATTTAGTAGCGAGTCTTTATTTTAATTACACTATATCTTTAATTAGAATTTTTGCGCTGCCGATTACGAGATATAATTAACGGCCTCGATGCCTAATGAAGCTATCCGAAATTGGGATTATGACAGCATTATGTATAAGCATATTACCTAGGTTTTCATGTCGTTGATGATTACTATGTTTCCCGCTTTCTGTCAAATGAAATTAGTTATAGAAATATATTCTGGAGTTTTGTAGTACGAGCCGACTCTGTTGATGATTCTTTCCTTCTCAAGCTAAGGTTAAGGAGGAGCGAAAACTTACTAAAAGTTGCACTAACGTAAAAATATCCCTCCTGAAAAACATCATCAATAGCAACAACATCAAATTGCATTTCTTCGCGTCCTTTTTTATTCGAGCGAAAATTGGGTGGATTAGTTTTCATACGTCATTGAATAATATAAATGATAGGATTTTAACTACCTTTGCAAACATTTCCCATTCGTTGGTATTAAAGTTAGTTGACCTTCTTGCTTTAAAAGTTTTTTAGTACATACTTAAAAAACATTTTTGGTGAAAAAATGAAAGTTGCAACTCACTTTTAGGAGCAGCCAAGGACTTGATTACAGAGAACAGGTATGCTTTCGTTGATGCACTCAGAAGCTCAATAAGAGACTATGGTGATGTCGGTACTGTGCTCCGGGTTCAGCAAGTACATGTAAGTGGATGACTCTCCTGTTATTTGATTCGGGCTAGGTATATAAACATTTAATGTATCTTTATTATTATATAGGATGATCCGTCAAATGTATAAGCCTTGTAGACATATCTGTAGTTTTCTAAATTTCTGAGATTTGTTCGCTCTCATTAAGTCAACGGATGTTTTCTATGTTTTCAAATTCTGCAACCTTAGCGTAGGTATACAATTTAAGCAGGATCTCCAAGGAGTTTCTGATCACCCTAAACGTTTCAGTTACGCACACGCTTTATCTATTTCGAGATCTTGGAAAGTAATGTACCACATAAAAAAAAATTAAATTAATCCACCCATAACAATTTGAGAAATGAACATTACACAAATATTCAATATACAATGAGGCAAGCGTGCCTTCTGAAGTTCTAAAATGCATACTCGTACTTTGCATCAGGCCATTTATTGGCCTACAAACCCCTGTATATTTCTAAAGCGCACATATTTTTCTTAATATTATACCTTGTTAATTTTTTTACGTTTCATACTCAGGTTGGATATGACAGAAGAATCGGCGTGATCAGATCTTTTTTCACTATCTTAGCTCCCCTCCCAGAGCTAGAACAAAAGGTGATACGAAGTATCGATGACATAAAGACATCAATTCAAGAAAAAGTCAAGAATGGAACATTCTTTGTTGCTTTCGTTGTAGTCAAGCCCGATGGAACTAAACAAGTGAGTTTGCTGTTCTTGTATCTTCGTGTTTTTTGGTATTCAATACTATGTACGTACAAGCAATAACAAAGAAACAGCAGTGTATCCTTCTTTCTTACATTGAACATGATAGTAGACCTGAGACTGGGGCAGGAAAGAGAACACAACAGAAGGTAGTAAAACAGGAGGCAACGTCTCAAACTCAGCTGCAAAGTTTATTTCGAATAAACTTTGCAGCTGAGTTTGAGGCGTTGCCTCCTCTTTTACTACCTTCTGTTGTGTTCTCTTTTCTGCCCCAGTCTCAGGTTTACTATCATGTTCAAGTTACACCAGCTCGCCTGCACTCTGACTATTTTTTCGTTAATACTTACATTACTTTTTTTTACATCGTTACATAGCTTGTACCTTTTTTTTTATAACAAATCATCCGGAACGACAAGCAAAGATATCGCGATGCCTTCCGAACTTCTAACAAAGTTCAGGAAACAAAAATATCTCTCTACATACATAAAAAAAAAAGAAGAAAGACGTAACAATTAATGTGAATCGTTTTTTTTTTTAGCCTCAATCATTCAAAGCTCTGGACAACTCGTTCATTGAATACCCATCGCACACATCGAAGAAACGGAGATACTACCAGCCTCGCAGGCTTCCGAGGGGCATTGCGGAGGGAAGAACATTGCCTGTCCGGCAGAAATACGAAGAAACTCTCGGCTACAGCCCAGGTTAGTTGCTATTTGTTAGTCTAGTAGCAGATTTCAAAGAATGCAGAGTTTAGTTTATAAGCTGGCTTACTGCTAATTTTGTTTGCTGTAATAAATAACCGTAGTATTAGAGCGCAGCTCTTAAACGGCCGTTTCCGGCTTGAGCGACGTCGTCGTCGCCGTCGGCGTAACCGCGCGTTGCATTATGGGACGTTTCCCATAAGGATGTTACACGTGACGTGACGTGTGACGACACGAGGGTCACGAGTGACGTCAGTGACGTCACGAAGGTCACTCATAAAGGTAACGAACGGCCTTCACCAGTAATTCAGAAGTGACGTTACGAGGGTCACTAGGGCAGGGGGGTAAAGGTGGGTGAGGAGGAGTGGCAAATCCCGTGCGCCGACACCCGGGGTCCCGAGTGAACGATCGCGAAAGAGAGCGACAGAACACGAGAGAAAGAAAGCAACGTTGCCATGGTAAACGCGAAAAGTGAAAACTCTCAGCAATATAAACAGTGATAATTTAACGTTGTAAACTAAATTCTGAGCTATTCTAACGCTTATAAAAAGCAATAAAGTCATTACGCTGCATTAACTTCCCTTCTGTCGAAATCTCGGAAATCTGGTGGTTGCGCAGTTTCGTATTCCTCAACCGCGCCCACCCGCGCTCCACCGGCGCAGCCGGGTATATGGTTTAGTTCAGCGTTAACGCGAGGCCGTACATCTGCGCGCTATGCAAAAAAAAAGAAAAAAAAAAAAGCTTCGAAAGGAACGCGAATATCTTTTTACCGGTAAGTTCGTGGATTGTTGAAGTTTACGAAACTGCTCTGATGATGTAACCGTGTTTGGGACCCCGAGGGTCTGCCTCCATGATCCGCCGCTTGCGGCAGCCAGAATGTATGGGAAAATGGCGGACCTTTTCCTCTAGAGTTAGTATGTATGATCTCTATGCACTAGGGTCACGATTGACGTCACGAGGGAGAAGGGAGGGATGGTGAGGGAGCGAGGGGGAGGAGGAGCGGAATGAGAGGAGGAGAAGAGGAGGCAGAGGGGCATATTCTCCTCTCCGTACCCTCCCCTCCTCCTTCTCTCCTCCTCCTCTCCTCCCCCTTTTTTCTCCTCCTCCTCACCATGTCCTTAGTATTTTTCTGCCCATTTGTGCTGCATTTATAATATTCGCTGCAGCTTTAATTTTTATTTCTCACCACATTTAACGAAAACGTTTTGTGTTAGGCCTGTATAATGCGTTTTGTAATATTCAACTTACCAATAACTTTGTTTTCACATCTGTCACTTTCCAGTGACTGATTTAACTACCTTTTGTACCCTTGTTTCACTGGCACTTGAAGTGCCCTCAGGGTAAAGTACTGTAAAAAACAAAACAAAAAGAAACCGCAGATGTGCATGAGTCGAGCTTGCAAACTAATTCACCAATTCATAAAAAAAGTTTTTCTTTAAATGTTTGTGAAAGATAGGAAATAGTTTCCTAAACCAGAAGGGCACTGACCATATTCGTGTAGAAGGATCCTATTCTTCATCTAATGAACGTAGCAGCGAATTATCGTGTTACTGATACAATAAACACAAGAAACGCCATTCGAATTTGTGATTTGGGGCGCATGTCCCTCCACATTTGTACATAGCAGTCACTCGACTGTTTTAGATTATATTTGCTCATCGACTGTACTACAATTTTAAATAATTTCCCAGGTAGCCTGAGAGAGCATTGTTTAGAGGATTTCCTCTATGACGATAGATTCTTGATAGGTAAATTATGTCCGATTCGTATAATATGCTTTTCATGCTACGTTGTAATGTTCGATATCAATTAGTTTGCTACTTTGCATACCAGTGTATATTAAAGTGTTTATTTTCATGCAGATTGTTTCAAAGATGTGTAGCATATGCAAGTATCACCCAGACGTAACATTCGGACTGAAATAGAAATTATGTTTGTGTCCCACACTTGAAAAAGTATGCAGTATTAAAAAAAAAATGATTTTGCCGACTACGCTGATAATACGATCAAAATTTTCAACAAAATATTATGTCGAACTCTGCATTACACGAAATGCCTAATATGATGGCTCCGCGTGGGAAGTGATAGCCAATATAGAATATAGTGAAAACTTGAAGTGTACTTTTATCCGCAAAGCGAGACAACGAATCGAGAGATACGCATCGATAACGTTCAGATAGTTTAGTTTCATAACATGTACCTATAGCAGCGAACAGACGGAGTCTAGCGGCGCGCTTATATTTGCAAGGAAGAGCACAGCTCTGTTGACACATCGTGTTGTCTTTCGTGTCAAGCCTCGGCAGGCTTACGTCAATCACACACGTTATCTTATTGAACTCGAGCACCCATAGACTGACCGTCAAAACAAGGACCCCTGCGAAAGTGTGCATTTAATTGCCCGCGACTGAATAATCTTCAAGGCCAGATATATTTAGCGCCTTCATTGATCATTCACTGCGATCTTACTTCTCGATAATGGTTTTTGGAGAAGACCGAAGATCTATGCTGCATTAATTCTTAAGTTAAACGGAGTAGTAAATGCTCCTTTGTAATTCACTACTAGAATCAACATTTTTCCACACCTCATTTTTAATTATGCTCTTTTTGCTACAGGTATTTTCGCTGCTATCGTCATCGCATTCTTGGCTGGTGGCATCGTTTTTGGAATCTTCGCTATGAAGTACTATTTAATGAAGAGGCAGGCCATGCATCCAGATGAAAACCGTATGGAATTGTCATAAGTATTTTTTGCTCAGCCGCTGATTTTGAATGCTGATGTATTTAGGTAGCTTTTTCTAAAATAAAATGAATGCCAACTATGGATAATTATTGTGGTTATGCATATAATTTTTATTTTCTGATTTGAAGTAGAAAAAAAATATCGGCGGATCTTTGTTTGAATAATAAAACCTCGATCTTTTGAATCCAAATCGTGTGACGTATGTATATATATATATATATATATATATATATATATATATATATATATATATATATATATATATATATGTATATATATATATATATATATATGGAAGAAAACGCACTTGAGACGGTTGTTGTAGTTTTTAAAACATATTATTCGTAAAGTTCATCAACGTTTCGGCCTGAAACAGACCTTTTTTAAGGCTTATATATATATATATATATATATATATATATATATATATATATATATATATATATATATATATATATATATATATATATAAGCCAAATCAGCATTTGGGATGTTGAGACACCCGTCCAGAAGAGGGGAACCGGATTTTGTCAAACCGACACCAGTTGGTTTTTGTTTGATATCCCTGACATCTACAATGTTTCGTGTGCCTGCAGATAAAACTGTGTTGAGTGCTTGATTGACCGATTGAAACTTTAAAGATAAAGAGATTCTGACATACCGTCTTAACGGAGACGATTGAACCACCATCTACCCTTCCAATTTCAGTATTGCAACTTAAACCACCACTAAGATGATGAAGAGCTCTACGGAATAGTCGGCCATGTAGCCACCTGATGGCTGAAATCATCGCCAACGCGCTCTCACACGGGTGTACTTTTATACCGAATATTCACGTACTGGCGAGCTCCGTCGAATTAGCACCATTTTTAGCACTATATATATGTCGGCGATAAATCTGGCGGCCGTGATTGGCCAACCTCGCACTTGACCTTGGCGCCGGCCAATTATAGCCGCCGGATTTCTCGCCCACGTTTTCTCTAAATGTCCAAAATAGGGCTACAGCTCTTTGGACAATAAGCGCCGCAAGACAGGGACAGAAAGTATAAGAGACAGTACACGAAGGGCCACTTTCTCAACTGACTGTGTATTGAAGCGACACAAATCATTTATACACCCCATCGGGCTTCTTAAGCAGGAATTCAAATTATTCATATGTGAAATGAACTGTCGGGGCACCTACGCATTTGTCATTCCCTTGCCATCCGATGTTGATTTGTCTCTTAACTTCCCCATAATTTTTTTTTTCATTCAGGGGCACAAGGGCATCTATTGCAATGAATAAGCTGTATTCCCTACATGCCATATTTGAGGGCGATGTTTAGAGCGCATGCTCAGAACGGGCTCACATGAATAGCCCGCTAAGACCGACAACCTTGATGGTGCGGAATCCACGTTGCAAAAGAACTGTGAAAACTCGCCATCAGCAGGCGCTCAACAGCCGCGCACACAACTATGGCCGCCAGTGAATACACCCTGTAGCCAAGCTGCCCGAGGGAAAATTTCTTACTGAGAGCGCGTGCTCTTGTACCCTGTCATTGACGCTCCTGCACGTTTGACCTACGCACGCTTTATCGCAAGTCATTGGAATCTTATACACGACCGAGGAGGCACAATCTACAAACTGCTTAGAGCGTCTTTTTTTTTTTTTTTTTTTGCACACATCATGCTTCAGTCTTTTCATTGTTAATTTTTCGGCAAAGGCTAAATAAACAGTGTCTGGGGCCGAAAACACTACCGGCACATTAAAATGCGACGCCACTTTTCTTTTTCGGTTATGGGAAATCTCGTGTTTATATGGCATGACGACGGGTCTCACTTTTCTCCTGGACCGAGGTGTTTCCTCATCATTCTTTTTTCTTTTTCATCTCGGAAACAATAGACCGATCTCACCAAGCGTTCCACGCATGCGTGACGCCGCCATAACTGTAGTTCGTAGGAGGCAGACGCCAGTTCACGAGACAGCTCATGCCAGCTCGTGCTCTGCTCGCGCAGACCTCTAGCAGGGTTATCGCGCGTGGAGAAAGACTACAGCTCCCACGATGCATGTCGGCAGCGGTGGCGTACTCAAACTAGCTGGTGAGATCGGTCTATTGTTTCGGCCACCTTCCGAAGAAAACGATCAGGGTAACCCGACGATCTTGACGTTGATGTTAAAGGGCAACTCCGCTCAATTCCGAAGATTTCGGGATAATGATTGATTTCGAATTAAAAAAAAACCCTAGTAAAACACTACGTCATTTGCTTCGCGAAAAATGGGATATATATTTTTAAATCTGATTTTAAACACGAGCGGAAATCGAAACCGAAACTTCGGCTCCGCCCGGCAACATTGACCTAGGTGTTTCCTCATCATTCTTTTTTCTTTTTCATCTTGGAAACAATTGTTTCGGCCACCTTCCGAAGAAAACGATCAGGGTAACCCGACGATCTCGGGCAACGTTGGTCTTAAAGGGCAACTCCGCTCAATTCCGAAGATTTCGGGATAATGATTGATTTCGAATTAAAAAGCCCTAGTAAAACACACTACGTCATTTGCTTCGCGAAAAATGGGATATATATTTTTAAATCTGATTTTAAACACGAGCGGAAATCGAAACCGAAACTTCGGCTCCGCCCGGCAACATTGGCCTCGGGTCGCCAAGTACATGGCCATCACGTGATACGAGATGTCACGTGATCCTCGGCCCAACGACGGGCGGGATTGGGGCGGGCGTGTGGCAGGCGCGAGTGCCGTCTGCACCGCACTCTTCGCCACGTTTTGATGTCTACGGCATTCGACGACATCTGCACAACTGCGGCATAAGTGTGCGCGCACGTGGTGTCCGTAGTGTGGACGAAACTCCGAAAGACAATAATCACAATCGGTGAGACGACGACGGCGGTTGTGACGCGGAAGACGGCGGAAACGGCGGGACCACGGCGGGCGGCTCCCAAGAAACGCGCTGCGCAGGCGCGTTACGCCAATCACGTGGACACCGCTGAGCGCCGAGAGGCAACGTTGCTGACGTCATGCGCTACGCTCGCCCGGAGAAGTAAAAACAAGCAAAAGGGGGCCATGTAGATGGCGTTTAGCTCAATGTTGGCTCCGCCCATGCCGTAGCCTTGACTGCGCTGTTGGTTGCGCCTGAATTCGCCCGCTCAAGTCAGCCGATTTCGGCAACTTGGCGAGTTACAAAGTTTGCCGGACCGTTTAAGAAACATTTAGACAGAACTGCGTCGTAAGATTTCACGTGTGGTCTTCCTAGGCGATACTGAAGAGGACTGCATTGTTTTTTTTAAACCAAAAAACACGAGGAAGCCGTTTACAACTCCCTGTAACGCCGAATTTGAGCGCAGCTCTTGAGGAGGAGGAGGGAAGGGTACTGGGGGGATCAGTTGACTTCGGAAGGGGGGGGGGGGGTCACGTGACCTCGGGGGTCACGTGACCTCGAAGATCGTGACCTGGGGGGTCACGTGACGATGATGTCATCAGTGACGTCACTGATGACGTCATCGGCATCGTCATCGTCATCATCACTGATGACGTCATCGTCACGTGACCCCCCCCCCCTATTTCCTCCCGAAGGAACCCGAGGTCCTCCCGAAGGAGCCCGAGGTCCTTCCGAAGGAACCCGAGGTCCTTCCGAGGTCCTCCCGAAGGAACCCGAGGTCCTTCCGAGGACCTTCCGAAGAAACCCGAGGTGCTACCGAGGTCCTCCCGAAGGAACCCGAGGTCCTGGGGGGGGGTCACGTGACGATGACGTCCTCAGTGATGATGACGTCACCAGTGACGTCACTGATGACGTCATCAGCATCAGCATCGTCATCGTCATCATCACTGATGACGATGACGATGCGGATGCCGATGAAGTCATTGGCATCCGCATCGCCATCGTCATCGTCACTGATGACGTCATCGGCATCCGCATCGTCATCATCACTGATGACGTCATCGTCACGTGACCCCCCCTAGGTCCTCCCGAAGGAACCCGAGGTCCTCCCGAGGTCCTCCTGAAGGAGCCCGAGGTCCTCCCGAGGCCCTCCCGAAGGAACCCGAGGTCCTTCCGAAGGAACCCGAGGTCCTCCCGAAGGACCTCGGGTTCCTTCGGGAGGACCTCGGGAGGACCTCGGGTTCCTTCGGGAAAGTTTACCCATAATGCACCGCGCGGTTACGCCGACGGCGACGGCGACGCCGACGCCGCTCAAGCCGGAAACGGGCGCCTAAGAGCTGCGCTCTAAAATGAAGCGGAGTTGCCCTTTAAAGGGGTACTCCACCGATTTTTTGAGCTACCTCAACTAACTATATTTTCTGACTCCCCGGCCTTTACTCTCTCCGGTATGCTATTTAGAATCGCGAAATTCATAATAGTAATTGCGAAATCGGCAAATGAAAATGATGCAAAAACCAACATTCAAATATACGCGCGCTTTTCAGGGCTGTGACGTCAGTGGCAGGCAGGCTTGCCAGTCGAGCAAGCAGCCAAAAAATAGAATATGCCAATCATTTGTTCCGTGCTGGAGCGCGGGTACTGCAGCGAGCTTCCCAAGCATTCATTTTACACCATGAAACTGCTTCGAATCAGTTTAAAACAAAATCTACAGCCCAAAGAGTGAACCCCTGCCTTCCACTGACGTCACTTTTTCATTGTTGCCAGTAGAGACTTCGAGCTTGAAAAACACGGTGAGGGTCAAAACTGTAAATTCAATAACTTCGCGAAAAAACAATATTTTGACCTAATATTTGGGATACTATTTTCGTGATGTTTGTTGGTTAGTTAAGCAAAATTTCAAGCAAATCGGAGACAATAAAAAGATCGGTGGAGTAGCCCTTTAAGTGTCCCACCTGGTTGAGAAAAACTGCTCATGGCGTGCTGGCACGATTTAGCAGGGGACGCCTTCGTTAGGGAGGAAGCGATCCCTCTTTTTACCATCTTAGAGTGCCATCTTAGAGTGGGCTGAACTGTTCCAGAGCTTACCAGAATCATCGCGCAACCATGAAGTGAAGGATTTTGACGGTGTTTCCATGGAAACAACCAGTGTTGGATCGAGCGCCGCTTGCGCGTGCCGAACGGAAAGGAATTTGGTGAACGCTCGCTGTCAT